TGTGAACTACCTGTGTGAGCAAAGGAAGTAGAGTGGACTCTACCAGTGCCACCTGTACCTTGCTGTCCGCTTGCGGCTGAACTGGAATTGGCTGTATCTCGTTGGTTCAGAAGTAGCCCATACCTCTCAAGTTCGGCCCTTGCTACAGCAACTGCAACAGACTCCAGAGCAGTTGTAGTAGGAGGGGCCGGAATGTCACCAGTAACTGCCATGTGTGCGTTTCCCTTCTTATTTTTCAATCTAGTCGGCACAAGATGTGGGTGAAGCTTCCAGCAAGTATCTCTTGTGTGTTTAGGCTTCTTGAAGTAGTCACAAATCAAATCTTTTTTATCTTCCTTCTTGATTTCACTGCCACCCCGATCTCCACTTTGTTTAGGTTTCACAACAGTTACCATGGTAGACTGATCAGGAATAAGGTTTTTCATCATCACATCTCTTTTGCACTCCTCCCCTGACACAAAGGCATATGCCTGGGAGAGAGTAACACTGTCCCTGGAAAGAAGGTGCTGTCGTGCAATATCATACTCAGGATTAAGGCCAGCAAGCAATTCAAACACCCTATACTTCTCTAGATGTTTCTGATAGGTAGTTGCATCCTTAGTGGTTTCCCAAGCAAATGTCTTTAAATGGTCAATCTCCTGCCACAGGGTTTTAAGGGCTGAAAAATAGGCTGCAACAGATCTATCTCCCTGCCTTGTAGAAATAATCTGATTTCTCAACTTATAAGCCCTAGCAACATTCTCCCTCTGTGAATATGTTTCTGCAACCCCATCCCATATTTCCTTAGTTGTATTTGCCCATAAAAAAATTTTACTTATATGGGGCAACATGGAATTACACAACCAAGTCATCATCATATAATTCTCCTGTGCCCACCGGGAGTTGCTAGTTTCGGGTTTCACCTCTTCATCAGTGATATACCCTAATTTTCCACGAGCACTAATGGCCATCTTTGCAGATTGTGATCATTCTAAGTAATTTGCACCATCCAACCTAACTGTAGTAATGGTTCCAGCTCCGAAAGGGTCTCCAACACCCCCTCCCACTGGTCCCATTTCACTCCCAGGCTTATTTTCAACTCCGTGGCCCTCCGTGCTTCTCAAAAAATGTAAAGAAAATAACTGAAATTTGCAACAAGATCAAACAAAACACTTTTTGGAACCAACAACAACTTTCTAGTGTCCTAGACTTTCTTCTCACAAAAGATTCATTTTCTGTGGGACTGGAGAAGAGAGAGAAGAGGCAGCCGCTCTCTCTAGAAGCCTCCAAATCAGGCAGGACTTGAATCGCCCCTTACAAAAAACTCCAAGGAACCCTAAAAAATTAGGGCGCCACTTCCTAGGTCAAAATTGAAGAGTCCAACAGAAACAAGACTCTTCCCCTTTCTTCAATTTTTCCTGATTTTGATGAGAAACCCTAGACCAGCTACAGGGCATACAGATCCACCAAAAAAATCCAAAAACTGGGCTTACCTGAGAGCTTCGATCAGCCTCTTAAATCTCCATGCAGTCGGCCGATCTAGTGCTGCATGAGAGAACAACTTCAAGGAACCTTCGGCCCGCTCTCATACCAAGTAGAAATCACTAATTGCAGATTTAGTCGTGTTTCTTGTGAAAGGAAAGAGGGGGAAGATGAAGATTTCAGCAGTAGAGAAGAAAGGAGAAGAAGAAAAGAGTAGGAAGTCAACCAGGATTGTAAATTAACCCTAGCCGCCTACCTCTCATTATATTTATACTTAACTTAAAGGATGAGATATTACAAGGATKCCCTTAGTAGGGYRGCTACTAATATAGCTGAACAGTCACAACTTAAAAAAACATAAACTAATGGGCCTCAAGCCCTACAACTTCCTAACTAAATTAAAAACAAACCGGACCAACTCAACATTATTAAACTAAAATAATCATTTTGTGTGTTTATATACTACTTTCTTTTTATTATTTTCTTATTTATTAGGTTTTAATCAACACAAACATTGCTAAATGCTGTATTGAACCCTCAAAGACTTTAAAAAACCTGAAACTACTTTTTATTTTCTTCTTTTCCTATAACAAAAATAAGGGTTCAGCCCTTATCTTTTTTGAATTTTATTTTCCTTCTTCCTTTTCTTCTCATGAATATGTTGATTTTCTATACTTTAATATGAAATTTATACTTTTCTTATGAAAATCACGAATAATTATTAAAGAAATATGGTTATGGTACCTAGGGAACTACGATTTTCATGCTTGCTAGCCTGAGATTATGATATTCCCCAAAAGAACTATGAGAAAGCTCTTGCTATTTTGTAGTCTTTGTTTATGTAATTACTAATTCAACTATAATTGATTGATAAATAAAGGTAATTCATCAATACATTATTTTATTGTTAGTAATTCATCTATACATTCTTCTTATATAATAAGATAGTCCTTTCTTCATAGTTCTACACTAGTCAGTTTTAGTTTTCATTTTTTTTTTTGAAACAACTTAAGGTTTACCTCAAGCATCAGAAGAACCTACTGCCTTGCTTCATACCTTTGTGTTTTAAAATGTTGGGCAGTACTAAAATTGGTTCTCATCACAAGACCCATAGACTGTCCTCTCTGAGTGGCCTGCCATTGAAGTCATACCCTAGAGCTTATGTCCTACAATCCATGATTTCTTTGGTATCCCTTGGTTCTCCACAATCTCAAGTCTTTTTTTTTGAAAATGTAAAGTATGGGATTATATTGATGATTCCACTATGAGCATCTACAAGTGTGGGCCATATACAGAGAAACTATACAGAAAACATGCCATGAACTAAAATGGCTTCTACAAATACTAAAAATGGCACTTCATTAATATTTCACTTCTTTCTCTAGAGCATGCCAACTATGATATTTGGATAGTTGTACATGCCATACACGTATTAAACAAAGTATGCACCTGATATGACACCAAATAATTCATAGACACTGCTATGTCACAGTTCATAATCTTAACTTGTTTATTTTCCAATTCTGAAAAGGGTAAAATAAATACTTTTGATTAACAAGTCATATGATAAATTATGCATATATTATAAGTTCAATTGAATTTGGCAATTTGTAATTGTTGAAAAATAAGTCACCTTCAAAAACTAGATAGAAAACCAATAACCTTACCTTGGTATCATAGTATTTTAATCAACACATAATCTCACCCTATTTGAGACATAGATTGATGTTACAGATTTGTGCAAAAGGTTCATTTCCTATAATAGTTAAATATATTCAAAACAATGTCAAATGGGCATAGAACTACTCAACACGATACAGCATGGATCCAAGCAGGGAATATGGCACATACAGACCATGGACATGTTAATAACTTACATTCACTTTAGATTTGAAGGGTACATGAAAATATAGGAAAAGGAGCTTAATCCTATATACCATTTCAACTACTTTCTGTTCATGAATTTATGAATACTAATTTGAATCATATAATAACAGAAAAATAAAGAAAAAATGGAGAACTAGAAATTTTCATAATTTAGACTCAGACAATGAAACAGAGTAATAAGTTGTTGACAAGACTGGAATATATGACAAAGAAGGGTTATGTTAGGAAATTGATATGATACAGATACCCATATCTATATCCCCCAGTTTTCTGAGCACAAAATGATACCTCTTTTCCTTCTCTCTCTCTCTCTCTCCTTATTTATATCCATGCCTGTAATCATAGTTGAGAAGGCCCCATTGTTAACTTTAATATTTTATTCTTTATTTTTTCTTATTTTGTCAGAGAGTATCATTATAGGATATCATAAAATATCTATAGTGCTTCAGTAAAAAAGCAATCATTTGATTGGCAAGCTAATTATGGTAATCAGTAACTTGAGGTTTCAAAAGTGGAATAATAATTATGATTTGTGATGGACTTCCATTAGGTTGTTCTTTGTTATGAAATTTTTTGTTGTTGCTATTTATGTGAATCTATGCATCCATGTAAATAATTTTCAAAGTTAATCCCTTCAGTTTTTAAAGCTTCTGTATCCAATTTTTTCAGTCTTCAAAATCATCTTTTTAATATTGTGAGATAGCAGTTGATGGGAAAGGGAATAAACTGTTAGTCTCCACCAATTTTTTTCCCTTAAAGTTTATTTTGTTACTGTTGGATCTTACAAACTTCTGATTCATGTCCTAAACACAGAAATTGGATTTCAAGTTCCCTCTATCAGTATCATGCGTCCACTTCATTTGCTCAGCTCTTGGAGCATACATAGTAATTAAAATTCTTAAGCTCAAGCCACTGATAGAAGTTGATCCTGAAGACCGTTGGAGAAGGATATTTCCCATGTCATTTGTTTTCTGTATCAACATTGTCCTGGGAAATGTTAGCTTGCGGTATATTCCAGTTTCCTTTATGCAGACAATAAAGTCATTCACTCCTGCAACAACAGGTTAGATTGAGATCTTCCCAATGAATTTATCCTATATTTGGATTAATTTATCAGAGCCATGTCTGACGCCAATGATGTAAAACAGTTCTTCTGCAGTGGCTGGTTTGGAGAAAATACTTTGACCTGCGCATTTGGGTTTCTTTGATACCTATTGTAGGAGGAATTCTTCTTACCTCTGTTACAGAGCTTAGTTTTAATATATTTGGATTTTGTGCTGCTCTATTTGGTTGCCTGGCTACATCTACAAAGACTATCCTTGCAGAGTCTTTGTTGCATGGCTACAAGTTTGATAGGTAGTATCTCTGTTCTTGTTTCTCTATTTCTGTTCTTAAGAGTAAGGATTGCCTCTTACTGCTGATTCAATGTATGTTCTTGTCATCTTTGGTATTTAGCTTGCTTAATACTGTTTCTCTGAAATTTATAATTCTTACTTTATAGAGGCCTGGGGAGAACCATTTCACCTCATAGACCAGTATTGTAATTTATGCTTACTTTTTAAGTTATTTTTAAAATAGTATTTGAGACATATATAATGCTTTCCGGTGCTTTTGGTTTATTTTACACCAAAAGCTCACTGATCTTGTGATTTTTATTATGTACTGTAGCCTAGTTTCAGAGTTAATCTGATCCATTGTGTTCCTAGTAGAGGACTTATTAGCTTGCTTCTCATGTGAAACCTGTTATTTGTTGTAGCCCAATCCCACAATTAACTGTACTTATGCTGAAATGTTTTATCAACCTCTATATAGAAGAGTCATCTCAAAAACTTGTCAGACATGTGAATCCAGTTGTCTATTATTGCTCTGGGTGCAAGCTGGGCAGGCCCCAGTAGAACCTGGCGTGACTCAAACCAAGCTTTTGCATAGGTTGGGCTTCAAGTTTCAGCTTTGGACTGAACCTGTAAATTTGTGCAGTGATCTTAGTTCAGGTTGGGCTCAGGTCAAGGCCTCAGTTAACTGCAATGTTTTGAAAATCTTAATCGTATTGTAAATCGTAGAGAAAGTTGAATCAAATTGATTAGTGAATTGTATCATAAATCAAATATAGATATATGAAAAGGTTAAATATATATAGGAAAGTGACTTTACCCTATTTTTAATCCATATCTACCAAATATGTACTTAAAACAATAGAATTTACCACTTATACAATAGAAGCCTAAGATGATATAATCAAGTTTGACTTGAAAATCAAACAAATCTACATAAAAAGGCTCTTTAACCTACATATGATGGAAAATAAACTCAATTTCTAGTTTTAAATAATGTAAATAGATCATTTTCTAGTAAGGGCTTTAAAAAATCTCCCTTGGCAAAACCAAATATAAACAAAAAAAGTAGAGAACTAATTTCTAATTGAATTTATGTGAATCATAGTGAATCATAGAAATCATATAAATCATTGGATTTATGAATCAAATCGTAGGATTCAAAGAAAAATCGTAAGATTTTTGCAAAAAAGGATCCAGACATAAGATTCGAATCAAAACCCTTGAGATTCATGATTCAAATCGTGAATCATATTGTAAATAGTGAGATTTTGACAACATTCCAGCCAACCATTTATTACTATACATACACTGACTATTGTACTATGCAAAAAAAATATTTACACAAGAACAACTCACATATAAACTATGTTTACATTATGTATAAATATGTAGAAAATGATGTTTCCATGTATATTTCTTTATTTTATTTCTAAACTAGATTGCACACCCCAAAATATATATAAAGCAACAAAAGATACTGCCCAGGCCTGAGTTAATCCAAGTTGTGGTAAAACTTCATTCAGCGTGGCCTTTGGCTTGTCAAGATTGGCTTTACCTAAGGTAGGTAACCTATAATGAGTGGCCAAATTTTATGGTTGGGTTTGGGTTGGCTGCAAACCTAGCTCCATGCTTGTAAGTTGCACCACTGATTATAGACTAGTTTTAAAATTTGAAGAATTTATGATCCACCTTGTGCATGGAAAACCACCTACTGTACTTATAAGGAGTAACCTTGATGCAAGTTTGGAATTCTAAAATGGCAAGGGGCTGAATTGTGGATGGTTGAAGTAGTTCAAAGGCCTCAAGTCTCACAATTTAACAGGGGTCATGACCCTTGGTAGGGTGGAATTGTGAAACAAGACTTGGCTATAAAAGCCAAAACATCTTGGACAAGGCTTTGTTGAGTTTGATTGAGTCCGTTTGATCAACCATGTTGCTAGCAGAAGCTTAAGTTTTTCTACATCTAGATATAATACAATGCATGTCATTTATCCAAGTAATGAATCTTAGATTGTTCTTTTTCTTCTTTTTTCTGGAGGGGATCAATAATTGTGATAGAAATATATTTGATTAATGAAGAGATGAAAGAGTACTGCTGAAAGTTTAATTGCAAGGAAGAAAGCAATTTACATACAGCAGTTGACCAAACAAGAGATAAGTCTGGGTATTGTGACCTTCAGAAAAGGTCTGCTCTTCAAACTCTATTTACAAGTGAGTTAGCTAAGGTGTTAACCAATCTGGGGATCCACCTTAAAGATGGTCTTTTAACTAATCCTCTTCTAAGTGAATCTCATCCTATGCATTATCTACTTTGTGCATGTGCTAAAGTTCATAGTTGTAACACCCATGTAATGCATGGTAGCTTCGTTTTAATCATCATGCACCCAAGGTTTTAAAAGGCATGCCTCAGGTGCACCTAGGCACTTTTTGAGGCATGCACCTTACTTGAACCTAGGCAACCCCACTTTCAGAAGGTGCACACCTGGCATGAAATGCACACCTAGGCTTAGGCACAAGACAACACAGGCTGACAGGCATGCACTTTTTGCAAGTTAACTTTTATAGTTATTTTTTTTTTATATTCTAATATGTTTTACACCTGTATAATGGTCTATTTACTTCTAAATAAACCCTCTGCCTCTGTAAAGGCCCCAATCTGTTGGGATTAGAAATGTAAGACACTTAACATCACACGGGCTACTTGAAGTGGTGTAAGTAGGAGATAAACAAATATTTTAAGAGTTTCATGAGCTTGAATTGTTGAATGCCTGAAGCATTTTGGTGTAGTCCACTTTGAAAAAAGTGGATATAATTTTCTTTCTTTCATCATTTAATGAGTGGTCTATTCTTTTTCTTTCTGACTTTTAAACTTTGATTTTGACCTTCTTAATATTTGGGTTATGGAATTATGACATTGTATTAGATATCGATTTATCATTTATTACAGAATATGGCTATGGATAGGTTTATATACTTTTTATTTGACTGAATCCATATTTGTGTATTCTTATTTGTCAAGTTTTTTTTATTTTTTACTTTTTTGAAAAGTTGTACCTTGCTTTGTTCAGGCACCACCTTGCCTTCAGTCATTTTGAGGCCATTGCACTTTTGTTGCACCTCTCACTTTAAAACATTGCATTATCTTCTTATCAATTGCAAGATTGGGTGAGGTGGCATCTCTTACAGATGACCATGACATTAAAAGCTTGCTGAATTTAAAGGACTTTTTTGAAAATACCAAATTAGCATATTCTTGCAAAAAAAGGGTACTGTGCATTTTTTTCAAAATTTTAGGAAATGACAATTCTTATAACACGTATATACCATTTAGATAGTTTGCTCCTACTAGATCAGGTGGTGCAACATAAAAATGAGGTGGCTAAGTTACTTGCTCTTTTCTTTCTGGAACGGGATGTGTTATGCTGAGGCAGCATTCCAGAATTTGGAAGATGAACAAGCAAGTTGGTTGGAGGGGATTCTTCAGGATGCCCTTTCCGATAAAAGAGAGAAGATAGGATTGAGGTGGTTCAAACTTGTTAATTAGAGATATAATGAAGCCACATGTAGCATGAGGAGGAGGAAGTAAAAAGCTTGAAAGGTTTTAAACATTGGGATTGAACCAATGAAGAGAATGAAGGAGATCAAGAAGTAATAGTGGAAGATGTGAATCCCTTTCCTAGTTACTGTTATTGATAAAAAAAAAAAAAGTGGAAGATGTGAAAGAAGGAAATGAGTGCCATTGGGCATGCCTGTTGTGCCCTGTGGAACATTGGCAGCTCAGTTATTGATGTTGATAATAAGTTGGTCTTTGTTGTCATGGTGTTCCTGGGGTTTACCCAGGCCTTGGATTTATTATGGGGCCTTCTTACTCTTTGTTGCTACTCCTTGTTCTTTTCCATAAGTATCATTATATTTTAAAAGCCAGCAAAGTGACGATTCTTTTCAGAAAATATGTCCAGAGAAGCTCACCATGTAGCTTTTGGACATTATTATTTAACAAAATAAACTTCTTGTACCTCCTCATAGGTATAAGATGTTAGAATTTGAAAATATATCCGTTATTTTGAGTGTCCTGAGTCCATTTCCTTTGTCTTTCTGAGTCAGACTCCCCAGCACATGTCAGATTCTGATTCTAGTTTCTTTGTTCATGTTGCCCAATAAATTCGTGCATAGTTTATTAGGTTTAGTATGTGCATAACAGTCATTTACCAATAATGTCTCAGTTCATATTTTCTTCTCTTGGGTGATATCTTATCACCTTTCATTTGTATTCTCTTTTTATTTTTAATGGAATTCTTATTTACGTTTCAAAGAAAAAACAAGTCATGTTTGACGAAATTGAGTTATGGTTTAATGCATTAAGTCATTTCTCCTAAGATTTTGCTTGGATATAAGTATGAGAAAGCTTTCTTACTATAAGACCTATTCATGCAATTCATGTTTTATGATTTTTCCTTTGTATTTTTTTAGCATAAACACAGTGTACTACATGGCACCTTTTGCAACCATGATCCTGGCAGTCCCAGCAATTATGCTAGAAGGGGGTGGAGTCATGAACTGGTTTTACACACATCAGTCTATTTGCTCTTCGCTTGTCATAATTTTCAGCTCTGGGGTGATGGCTTTCTGCCTCAACTTCTCCATCTTTTATGTCATTCACTCAACAACTGCTGTCACTTTCAACGTCGCTGGTAATCTTAAGGTGAGATAAAGATAGATCAGTTCCATCTTACTAACCTATGTAATTATCTCTACAATTTCAAGTTCTCATGGGTTTGGTTGCGCAATTTTACAGGTTGCAGTTGCTGTCATGGTTTCTTGGATGATATTCAAAAATCCAATCTCAGCATTGAATGCCGTAGGATGTGGAATCACACTCATCGGCTGTACATTCTATGGGTTTGTGAGGCACAGGCTTTCACAACAACCTCCAGGAACACCTCGAACCCCTCGGACACCGCGAAGCCGGATGGAAATGATCCCTCTTGTAAATGATAAACTAGATGATAAAGTCTAATTTAGAGTTTTCCAGTTATATATCATTTGGTAAAAAGAGTAAGTGAAAACAACCATCTGTCATGTAAACCTGCAATAGGTGAATAGTAAGATTGAGTTTTCCTTCTTATTATAGAACATTATGCCTATACGGATTCAATTTGATGAGAAAAGTGTGGTCCACTGTTTAAAGTTGCTTGGGCAATGCCCTTGTTCAATGACTAGATTTTATAACCTTGGTTTCGGCACCCATTTTGACTGGCATTGAAATCAATTTGTTGAGACTTTGAGACTTGTAATTTGGCCAAGACCAGGTGGAGAAGGTAAGAGATTTGTGGAGCTGTTCTTTTGGGTAAAACAAGAGATCAAAGACTTTGTCACTTGTGGTTGTGGGTTTCACGAGTCATGACCCCAAAAAGAGACAGATTTATTGGGAAGTGATTTACAGACTTTGATTATCACACTTGATATTTAATTAACCTAAATGCCAGAAGGTCAGCAAAGCTCAAAATAGTTCTTCGTACCGAGTACAGACTACCAGACGGAAGCATCAAGGAAGCTTAAATTCCACCATTTAGATGATTCCAAACTGCTCTTTGATCAATTTCCTTCAATCAATTCAGTGTCTTTTACTCATAGTCTTTCTCCAGACAAAAGTAACATGTAATTCTGTTTCTGGAGAGCATTGGACCTTGGGCCACTGGTCCCTTGGATGCAGTTTGGGCCCCATGATTAGATGCCTGTCCAATTCATCCATCATCATCTACAATTTTTTGGGGTCCATAGTACAAACAACCCCAGATGCTTTACTGGGTCCTACACAGTTCCTCTATTCCTATATGATGACCAGGATTTATATCTAAAGAATCAAATTAAGCTGGCTAGGGTAGCTTTCATTTAAGTGGGTTCCTAACAGTTCCCTTTGCCTTAGGACACAAGATGACAAATCCCTGCCTACGAGAAATTCCTTTAGACCGGGTCTAAGATATTGACATATTTTAATGTGCTAAGCTGACCAGTTTGATTGCCAACAAAAACAAACTCACCAGTTTTGATTTCAGAGATGAATTGGACAACCTTCAAATAATTACATAAACTTAGGGAAGTCAGTGGGTCGGGTTAAGTGGTAAACCCGCACTGACCCGACCCTATTGGGGTTATGGTCGGTTCAGCCTTGATTAGTTTTGGGTCAGGTTCGAGTTGAGATGGACCCATCTTAAACCCAACCCGTTGAGATATAGACTTGGTTTAGTATACACATACCATATATAGAGGTTGGATCTTGGAACTGATCAGGTCGATCCCTCCTTTTTCATTGGCATCCCTAACTAAGATAGGACCATTGTGAACCCCATCCGTATTGTCATGTGAACCGGATTTCCAGAGTAACAATCTAAAAATCCGGATCATTTTGTCCTAGAGAGTAGAGACAATCTTTGGATTAAGGGGATGAATAGGTGGAGAGATGAGTTTAATTGACTTGAGATTCTGGTTTGAGACAGTCCTCTAATGGGCCCCAACTTCAGAAATATTTGTCCCTCTCTCACAAGTGGGTCCATCTTCTTTCTTTATTTTTTGATGGGCTCCTCTGGTGGGTCCCCCAGGCAAA